TTGAACACTAGCATATCCTAACTTGGAAGTATACTCATCTACTATATATATAAAAGACAGGAGGTCAAAATCATATTGTTTCCTTTCAGTTGTGTACCAATTTTCTTGAATATACCACTTTTGGCACCCAAATCTAGTCACATACGTAATGGAATAAAAGGTCTACATTAACCATCTCTGGACTTTGCAGAACAAATAATAGAAAATGATAAGGAACAAAAAATAAAAAAAGTACATAAACATAATTAAATAACATTATGGCTGTCAATAAGAGGGGCCACATAATTAAATAACAAATTAAATAGAAAAAGAAAATCATACAACACTCCTTCCAACTAGAAACCAATAGAAAATGATAAGGGCAGACACATGATTCAGACAAAGTAAAATATAAATAAATTAAAAATATTTGTGAAGTCTCACACATTGAAGGAGATAGTTGTCTGATCCTCAATAAAAAAAAAATGGGGGACCATATTATAAAATTAAGAAATCAGTAATGTCCCACCTTCTTAAAGACACATGCATGTCAAATTAGGGACTATATGCCCTCGTTTCTGCTACAAACAACAATAATAATTAGTGAAATACCATTTTCCCAAAAGATATATAACAAACAACCACTCAAAATCATAAAGTAAGATACTTAAGCTCTAGGACTCGTGAAACCCTAAACCTAAACTAGAAATAATAATCCCACAAACAAGCCCTAACCCACAAACCAGAAACAACAAAAGCTAAAAAACCGATGAGAAGTGGAATGAAGACAAACATGCAAACAAAAAGAATAACAACTGTACTGAACAAAATAACTGGTAGCACCAAAATCAACACAAATATTTACATTCTTAAGACCTAACCAGATAATTGTCAAGATACAAACAAAAACACCTAACAATAGTAACACAAACCCTAGAACATAAATCAAAATAAATACAAGAAATGAATAAAAAATAGAAGAAGAAAACGAAATCAAAGTTTAATAGCAGTAGAAAAGTTGTACCTTTGAAGAATGTTACAGCCAAGTCGGTACTAGAACTTCACGCCCTAAATTGCCTATCCATTTTGCCCTCAAAACAATCGAGAATTATGACAATCTTTCTATAATAATCAAGTTGAGGGTTTATATATAAATGAAGAAAACGGGTATGGGTAACGGGTCACGAGTTATTTAGTAATGGATTGGGTTAATAATTTTTACCGTGTCATTTTAAATAAAGCCTAATTGACACGGTGGGCAGCCGTCCAAAAAAGGGATCATTTAATCAGGTTTGTAAACGGTAGGCCTTTAAGTGGGCTCAGAGAATGACAGGGGACACTTTTAAACTATTAATTGAAGTAGAGGGGTATATCAATACCTTTTCCCTAAAATATTTGAATTTTAAGATACGGAGAATGGTCAAAAATATCCTTCTACTATTAAAAACTATTTATAATTACCCTTCATTATACTATTTGGCTAATTTAGTCCCCACTGTCTTACTGTTAGCCATATATACCCCTCATTTAACAGAAGAGACATGTGGCTAGCTTATATGCCATTTGGAGCATCTGGATCACCCGACCCAATACTCGACCCTAAGAATATATCCTTATTCTACATCCCCTCATCTAAATTTATTTTTCTGTCATGTCACCGGTGAAGTTCACTTGTTAGCATATAATGGAACAATGTATGGTCAGATTGAAAGTAGCTATGTTCAACGCCAACCTTGGATGGTCTGCTCGTGAGATTCCTTTAGATCCTATATCAAACCCAACTAGTGATGCCGATGTTCTTCCCATTCTAACTAGAAAAGCTAGCTTTTTGGGGGGTAGGGGTGATTGGATTTTGCTTAGATGGAGTATTAGAGTCTAGACGTGACCTAGGTAGCTAATACTGCTCATGATACATAGAACAAAATTGCATGTTACAGAAAATATTGTTATATAGCAGTATTTGATGGGTGGGAAAACTATTTATTTCAATAGGTGCGCCTTCTTCTCCACCATCACCTCCCTTGCCCCTTCGACTCATCTCCATAGCCACCGCAGTGAGAAAGAAACTCACCTTTTTCACTCATTACCACTCTAAAAATTTGCCAATAACAATTAGATTTAATCCTTTGCTCTATTGCTCCCTTCTATCATCCCCACTTTTGCTCAGAACCCTTTTATCAAGAACCTACCGAATTTCAAATCAAACTCAGATGTTCATAACTCTACATTTATATTTTTGGTTTAGTAAATGTTGATAGAACAGTGAAAGTATGGATCTTGAAGTGAATGGGCTTAATAGTCGTATTGATTTCTCATTAGAAAATGACAATCGTATTGTTAATTCATCTTCCTTTCTCTCTTCTTGGAGTCTTGAAGATTACCATTCTTCAGGTTTTTGTTTTTTTTTCCTTTTCATTTTTTGTATTTTTTTATTGTGATGTTCTTTATTTAGTCTTGAAATTGTGGAATAAAAAATTATTTATTTTTGACAACAATTGACAGAGAGGTGTAGGGGATACAACAATTGAGGGTTTCTTATTTATGGATAGGGTTTCTAATTCGGATATTAAGGGGTTGGGTACGGGGGGAAGGGCCGAGTTTAAGTTAAAATAAGGATTGAGTATTTAAATGGCTTCTAAGCTTGCCACATGTCTCCTCTGTTAACTGGGTACATATGGCCGATAGTATGACGATGGGGGCTAAATTAGCCAAATAGTATAACGAAGGGTAATTGTAAACAACATTCAATGGTAGAGGGGTATTTTTGGCCCTTTACCGTTTAAGATATTGCAATTTTTACTATACTCATGTTTTATGTCATTTTCTTAATCATTAAAACTTAATATCTTTCTCATATATCCATGTGATATCTCCCGAGGAAAAATTCTGAAAAAATATTTTTTTTTTGTGAAAATGATATTTAAAAATTAGAGTTGTGTTTGGAAATGAATACAATATGTAGTTTTTTTTTTAAAATTTTTGTGAGTAATTTTTGTGAAATTTTTTATAAAATAGTATTTTGGAGTTTTTTAAAATTTTTGAAAAATTCGGAAATTCAACTTCAAGTGAATTTGAAATTTTCATGGACAAATACTGATTCCGAAAAAAGTAATTTTTTTTTGAAAAAAGCGAAAAAATTCTTATGGCCAGACCGCCCCTAAAATTTTCAAAGATAATTTATTCGGAACAATATCTTACACCTTATTTCCCTCATCCATGAATTAAATTCTACCTACATATCCGGTAGTTCTTTTAATTTTTTATTATTGTTATTATTTTCTGTTTATATGAATTCTTCTTTTTATATGCTTTTCTTGAGCCGAGAGTCTATCGAAAATAATATTTCTACCTTCACAAGGTATGGGTAAGATCTGTGTATACACTACCCTTCCTAAATCCCACTTATGTGATCATACCAGATTTTTTGTTGTTGTTGTTGTTGTTGTTGTTGTTGTTGTTGTTGTTGTTGTTGTTGTTGTTGTTGTTGTTGTTGTTGTTGTTGTTGTTGTTGTTGTTGTTGTTGTTGTTGTTGTTGTTGTTGTTGTTGTTGTTGTTGTTGTTGTTGTTGTTGTTGTTGTTGTTGTTGTTGTTGTTGTTGTTGTTGTTGTTGTTGTTGTTGTTGTTGTTGTTGTTGTTGTTGTTGTTGTTGTTGTTGTTGTTGTTGTTGTTGTTGTTGTTGTTGTTGTTGTTGTTGTTGTTGTTGTTGTTGTTGTTGTTGTTGTTGTTGTTGTTGTTGTTGTATATCTAGTAATTTTAAATCTCCTATATTTGATTTCTTCACTTACTCAAAACATCCAACATTCGGAAAATAATCCACTCCTAGAAGTGCTAATTCCATCAAATTTAACTTTGAAATAGTATTTAACTTAGTGAAGATGAAAATTTCATTTCTAATAAATTTAGAGGACTAAAAGTGCTTAACAATATATTTAAAGGATGTTTTAAACTTGGGTTTTTAGTCAAAATTGTCTCTTATCTTTGGGAGTCTAACTTTATCCTTTATTTATTGTCCTAAGCACTTATTGTCCTTTAAATTTGCTAAACTTGAGCAGGTTTAGTCCATTTAACAAAAGACCCAAAGGGAGACCTAAAAACTAACAGTGATTTCACCGAGTCAACTGTGTAAAGAAACTTTCAGTACTCAAATTTTGTAGAACCGATGCAGTGAACCTAAACCTGTTTAACGGGCCGGGTTGACCCGGTTTCGGACCGGCCTAGACCAGTAGTAAACCGGACCAGCCCGGACTGGTGGAAGGGGGCTGGGTAGGGCTGGGTTTAGGGGGTTGGTCAGTATATATTTTTTTACCGGTCAAACACGGTCAATGAAAATTACTGTTGAACCGGTTAACTGGCCCGATCCAGTTGAGAAAAATAGTGACCGGGCGGTCACCAATCCTGGCCGATTACCGAGTTTTTAAAATCGGGCTTAACGGGTCCGGGCCCATCCGGTAAAAAATTGAACCGGAACGGTTCCGGACCTAAGGGCCCGGCCTGGCCTACCCCTTTGTCACCTTTAAGATTGCAGAAACAAGTGTGACAATTTTAAAAATAAAAAATAAAAAAATAGTCGTTGAACCGGGTCGGTTAATCGGTTCAACAGTAATTTTTATTGACCGGTAAAAAAATATATACGGACCAACCCCAAATCCCCCAAAACCAGCCCTACCTGGCCCACTTCCACCAGTCCAGGCTGGTCCGGTTTACTACTGGTCTAGGCTGGTCCGGAACTGAGTCAACCCGGCCTGTTAAGCAGGTTTAGGTTCACTACATCAATTCTACAAAATTTGAGTAGTAAAAGTTTCTTTACCCATTTGACTCAGTGAAATCATTGTTAGGTTTTAGGTCTCCCTTTGAGACAAAATTTGAGTCTTTTGTCTCCCTTTGAGTCTTTTGTTAAGTGCTTAGGGCAATAGATAAACGACAAAGTTAAACTTAACCCCAAAGATACCCAAAGATAGGGACAATTTTGGCTAAAAACGCTTTTAAACCTACTCAAAACATAATGGACAATTGTTGTCATAAATGTTGAATGCCAAACGCTGCCTTACCAAGCATGATTTTGAGTTTATCCTTAACGTGACCGGCAACTGCTGTCGATTCGCTGCAAATGAATCTCTTCTACTCATATTCTTCGCTCTTAGGTCGGAGAATGGTGAAATGCGAATGGAACCTAAAACACTATATTTGTCCCTCATTATCTCCATTGAAGACAAATTGTAGAAATATAACAGTATTTGCGAAGTCGTCGGAGTCCAATGGTGCTTCCATTTCAGTAGCTGGAGCTGACGGTTCTTGGTCGAGCTCTGTTTCCCGCGAATCCCCCATTTCAGGTTTTCTTTTTTCTTTTCTTTTCACTGTTGCAGAAATCAAGTAATTTATTTGTGACTTGTGGTTTGATTTTCTCAGGGTCTATGGAGCAAGTAATGGTGGAATATGTATTTGGGAGAAAAAAAGCTACTGAAGTTGCTCACTAGTAGGTACTCCAATCCCTTTTTGATTCAGCTATTTTAGAGCCTACGTTTGTGGTTCAACATTAATTGGGTACATTTTCCTCCTTTCAACGTGCAAAAGAGTTCCTTTTTCTAAGGGGAACTTTATGTCGTTTGATATTCTTGCAGAAAATTTTCTACTTGCAAATTTGGTTGGTCGCAAGTATAATGGAATAATTTGTTTTATGCTGTGAGAAACTGCTCAGCGGGATTAACCCTTTGTCATTTGAATAGATTCGAATGAAGTGCCATCAATAATAAGGTTGATAAATTACTTGTAATTGGTTTTTTGATGAGTGTTTCTCTTATATTTTTCAGCTATCAACTTGAATTTTGAACTCTTAAGTTCTGTTTCGGAAGTTCCTTATTCTGTATATTAAACTTTTGACTACTTTAATGTCTCGGTAAGATACATACGGCCAATCTCAACTTTCTAGAGATTGATGCTTAGTTGTTGTTGTTGTTGTTGTAATGTCTCAGCAATTGCTTTGTCTTTGCACTTTTAGAAGTTAAAGAAGTTAAAGTCTGCATTGTCTTGTTTTGAGTTTAATAGCTGTATGACTATAGTAGACCATAAATGGTGGCTTACCTCTTTCTATAATTGGTAATGTCAAGGGTATTATATTATTTAATCAGCGCATAACCCCTGGCAGTGTTTGGAAGCAAGTTGTGCAAAAAGGGGATGCAGTTGTTGATGCCACCTGTGGAAATGGGTATGATACTTTGGCACTATTGAGAATGGTTGCTGATAACGCAGGGAGAGGTCGAGTTTATGGCATGGATGTCCAGAAAATTGCTCTAGAAAGCACTTCATCCCTACTGGACCAGTTTGCTAGTCAAGATGAGGTCGCGTTTATTGCTTCTGCTTATTTTGTATCTCCGGCCCTAATTAATGTTGACATTTTACCGAATGATCCAATAAGTAGATCATCCTGACTATGTAGAAGGAAGCTAGAGAGAATGGTGGTTTGGATACATATTCCCATAAAGCTGAAACTCCATTTGGTTTAAAGCTATCTATACCTTATGATCTAAGCATATAGTTAGCCAAACAGTTGCTTGCTTTATATTGTATAATCTTACTTTACGATATAATGCCAGCCTAAAAGAGTGAAGTTGTCTGTCTCAGGCTCTCAGCCCTCACTTCCACTTTTCCCACCTACAAGAGGCCAGTTGTGGTGTCTTGCCTGGTAACTTACATCCATCTCCAGAATTACTAGAACCAGCCAAAATCACTAATGAAGTAATGTTAGTCTTTTATACTGCAGGGACCACTCCCTCTGCCACCCAAACTCAAGGCTTCCCGTAGCCTTTTTTCAGTCCAAATACAACTGATATAAGATGTAGTATAATTTTTCTCATAAGTGTGCTTATGAACAGTGAAGCTCACATAAGACTTCAATTGGAGAAGTTTGCAAGCTCAATCTCGTTAGTGCTTACCCATGGGTGAATGGATTTAACCATATTAACCAATGTCTTGTGGGGTAGATAAATATTACAATTTCATTCTAGTTCATGAAAATGTGATGAAATGGATTTAGCATCCAGGAGGAGTCAAATGGCAGCTCCTGTTTTCTTTTCTTGACATTCAACTGTTTCTACCTACAAATTGTTATCACATGATCATGCCTCTGACTTTTCTGTAATCATGCTCCTCTCTTCCGAAAATGATAGTTTTTCTTCCACGTCATGAGTTATACATACATTTGAAGCACATCTGTTGTCCTTGTCATGCAGAAAGAACTTGTTGAGCTATTTGTTATGTGTCATAGTCAAATGGAGGACATCGTGCCGAATGATGTAGCTGTAAGGTATTCTTGCTTCTCAAAAGGATTTTAATGGCATACACACTGAGTGTATACATCATCTAGTTTCTGTGAAGTGATCTTAGTGACAGAGCTGCACCTATTCTGTCGTGATCTAAGCATTGCAATGATCACCTGCAGTTCTTTTTTGGCCCAATGCTTGTGTCAGGTTAGTTGCTTTCAACTTGGGTTACCTCCCTGGCGGTGACAAAAAGCTCATTACCAGGTCTGAAACAACTGTGCTTGCATTAGAGGCTGCTAAGAGACTCTTGGCACCTGGCGGACTCATCAGCATTGTAACTTATGTGGGCCATCCCGGTGGAAGGTGAATTCTTGAACCTTATGTTCGTTTTTCAGCTGAAAGTATTCCCATTTCTATTGTTTGAGAGTCTTTGTGTAGCCGCTTGCTGACTATATGTTCAAGCATCTTGACTATGTCAGTTCGATAGCTTTGAGTCAATGGCCTTTCTCATCATCCAAATGATGACCTCTGTATAAGCAACGTAGCTGTATGATTATCATTTGTTTATCATTGCACGTGTAATGGTCTTCTATTTCCAATGGTTCTATACTATGTTACAAAAATACTTACATTTGTTTATCATGTAGGGAGGAGTTTGAGAAGATTGAAGGTTTTGCTTCCGGATTACCGGTTGAGAGTTGGAACTGCTGCAAACTACAACTGTTGAATCGCCCACTAGCTCCCATACTGATATTTTTGTTCAAAAGATAGGACAGGTATTATGTGTTACCGTAATGAGACTTGGTATCATGTTTCTGAGGTTACATGCCTAGTAAGTTGTAAAGGTATATCAGAATGCTCTTTTCATGCATTATCGTAGTAGATAGTGCTGCCTCTGTCGTAGCCTCGTAGGAGTACTACCTATACATCAAACAGCAGCTGTATAAATACTTGTCCTCATTTTTGGCAGTAATGCCGATCTCAATTCTCATTTTAGGGAATGCAGTGAAGTCCCAAAGACCCAACCGTAGAGTTGGTGATATATTATTTTCAATTTTTTTTTTGGAAATAGATTTTTTATTTCCAATTCCCATTGTTGTATAAACTTTAGGGAATGCACGCAAAACTATTTTGGGCAGTTAAGGGAACATTCACACTAGTCAATATATTACTGCTAGTTTTTGCATATATATGCTTCATAGATTATCACAAGTTAAATATAATACAAGAGGTAGAGAAATCAACTCTCAAGTCTAAGCGCTTAAATCTCAAAGTATTACACTTAGAAGACCATGAGTGGTGTGATGAGCCTAATTGAACTACTCGATCGTGTCGCTCATGCACCATATGTACCACTATATGTTAAAATCCTCCCTGAACTATATTCGAAGTTGCTACGACATCAAAGGTAAGGTGTGTCGTAGCAATTTCGGGTATAGTTCAGGAGGATTTTATGCATTATCCCCTTTAAATAACAACAAGATGACTGAACTGAGCTGCCAGTAACTAGTGTCCCTTTATTTCTAGGTAAGAAGACAAGCGAGTTTTAGTTCTAGATGCAAAATATTACTACTACTATACAGTCTTTTTATTACTTGGGCTAGCTAATTAGTATAGTAGGAGTAATAGATACTATTGATGTATAAATGGAGGTGAAAAAGGCCTAGCTGTAAAGACTATACTTGCATGGTGTTATTTTGGTCTTGTGAGGTAAAACCGTCGCAACATTCATAATAATTAGCTCCAGTATACGTAGTAGTAGTAGTAGTACTAGTTTGAGTTAGTCCGAGTTCAATTTCCAAGTATCTCAACCACTTTTGGCATTCATCATATTTATCTGACGAGCTTTCATGTGTATAATGAGGCGCCTGCAGCTGAGACTGATCAGAGTGCAGATTGATGTCCAGTACTTTGGAGTAGTCTAAATCAGGACTCAAATCAGTATCCAACATGTCCCAAAAATCAATATCTGCCCCTGCTGAATCTGATGGTATTTCATTAATCACCTGATCTTGGTTGTCGCGAGCCTCTGCTGCGCGAACGTGTTCAGTACTCAAGTTGCAGAGGTTTAATGAGCCATAGGAAGAAGTTGGAGAGCAAGAACCTGCTGCAGATGCTGTGGCTTCCTCAGTTAAACTAGTAGCAACATCTATGTATTGGCCCTTATTGTTGGTTTCAAATGCTTCTTGAGTAGTAGTAGTGATCATGATTTCTTTCTTCAATATCCCTACTCTTTTCTTTAAATGAGTATTCCATACATTTTTAATCTCGTTATCAGTTCTTCCAGGCAAATAAGATGCAATCTTTGACCACCTGCAGTTATTAATGCATGTGATTAGTGGTGGCAAAATTGATTAAAAAAAGACCGTTATCCATCCATATTATCCACTAAAAAATAGGTTGGATAATGAGCTTTTTAGAAACGGATCAAATATGGATAAAAATCATATTATTCACTTAGAAAATAGATTATCAATGGATAACTATGGGTTTAACTTTTACATTTGTAAAAATTCAAATTGGGGATTACTCAAGCTTAGACGAGTAATTCTTCCAAAAGTGATCATATTTAAAAAGCTATGGATAATATGATTACCCATATTATCCGCCGATTAATTCATTTTCTATTCGTATTAAATATGGGTCGGGTTAAATAATTTATTCGTTTTTGCATTACCCGTTTTCAATCCGACTCACATGTTTGTAACCCTAGATGTGATAGAATAATTTCAGACCAAAGCAAAGACAAAATTTATTTGTATATACCTGTTCCCCAAAGAGTCATGTAGTTTAATTATGGTGTCTTCTTCTTCTGGAGTGAAATTCCCTCGTTTTACGTCAGGTCTCAAGTAGTTAATCCACCTCAACCGGCAACTCTTTCCACACCTCAGTAACCCTATATTGTGAATCAACAATATTGACATTAATAAAATGAGTTTACCTTCCTAAAAGAATTTTTACACTATCCGGTCACTAAAGATACTTTATGTACACGTCCATAAAAAACGAGAGTAATTATATGATGTTACCTACTACAAGCCTACAACAGGTTAAAAGTACATTGAATGTTATAAACATTCTTTATATTACCGTGTATATAAGTTAAATTCTTTAATTTTGAGATACTATTGGAGGATAATTGGAGGATAATGGACATGCTATGTACGGAACTACTTTCTAGCCCGGTGCACTAAGCTCCCGCTATGTGCGGTGTCCGAGTAAGGGTCGGACCACAATGGTCTATTGTATGCAGCCTTACTCTGCATTTCTGCAAGAGGCTGTTTTCACGGCTCGAAAGTCGAACCTATGACCTCCTGATTATATGGCAACAACTTTACTAGTCACGCCAAGGCTACGTACGTAGGGGAACTATTCTCTAGACCGGTACACTAAGCTCCCGCTATGCACGGGTCCGGGGAAGGGCCGGACCACACGAGTCTATTATACACTGTGTCTTACCCTGCATTTTTGCAAGAGGCCGTTTTCACGGCTCGAACCCGTGACCTCCTGATCACATGACAACAACTTTACTAGTCACGCCAAAGTTACGTACGTAGGAGAACTATTTTCTAGCCCGGTACACTAAGCTCCCGCTATGCGCGGGATCCGGGGAAAGGCCGGACCACAGATGTCTATTATACAGAGTCTTACCCTGCATTTTTGCAAGAGGTTATTTTCACGGCTCAAACCCGTGATCACTTAGTCACTCCTAGGGGAACTACAAATCTTACCAGCTTGTTTGGGGAGGGATCGCCAGTTGCCATGGCCATTTTTTTGAATGAATGAAATAAGCTTCAAATCTTCAGCAGGAGTCCATGGCCCTTTCTTCACCTTACTTTTATCACAACAAGGTGCTCTTCCTTTACCCATCGATAATCTTTTTCAGTAGTGTTGCTCTTATAATTAGTCCTAAATTCTCCCGTCTATATATATAACTTGCAATTCACAAATGTTGGTTTTGTTTCTCACCTCTCCTTTCCTTTATATATCTTTTACATATGTCTATATCTCCACGTAGGGGGATAAATGCCAGATATATATAGTCATAAAGATGTCTTAATCTATGACAAAATTATGGAAAATGAAGTGGGGCCCTCTTAAGAATTTCCAGTGTGATAAGTGGACCGGAATATTCACTACTTTTAATTTACTAGTATTTGCAAATTCAAAAATCGAATTTACTAGTATTCCCTTTGTTTTCTAATAAATCGATTCGACTTAAACATTTGTTTTTCAACGTACAACTGTAGTGAGATGGTTAGATAGAATCTATTAGTGCATCCTTAATTCGTTCTAGTGTAATAGACAAGTCTCGTGAGACGAGCTCGAGGCAGAAAGCATGCACGGGGTTTTGAACTTACAACCTTCAATTTGGAAGATCTCCGGCTCAACCAGCTCGACTACAGTTGCTAGCATATCCATCTACTATTAGTAATATCAATTTCAGGGTTCCTTTTGTTTAAATCCATTTTCTTTATTGAAGTAATATTACTTCTTACTATAAGCTAATTAAAACCTGTTAAATTTTACATCATAAAAAACAAAATTGTGCGGCACGAGCAGTTCATTTCCATCCTAACAAAACTCAAAATACATACTGCAACATCATATATAAATGATACTAGTATTATTGCTCTGCCATGAAAAAGTACTTCCACAATTATCGATATAACTTTGATTAAAATTAATTCTTGCGTTAATTAATTGAAGAGAAACCGTCATTAACTGAGGTAGCTCTGTGCTAAACTCGGTTTTACATTAATTTGGTTCAACTAGAATTAATATTTTGTAAATAATGGATGCAACTGATTTCCAAGAACAAAGTTAAAATCTAAAAAGTCGGCGAATATATAATATTTACTTCATTCATATATAATAGTATATATTTAACCACGAATAATCAGTATATAATATATTTATACCAGCTAGGAAAAATACAAGTTTTTTGTGTAAAAATTCCAAAGAAAAACGAGATATTGCAATCCACAAACTAATAAGGATCTCTCCAAATAGGTTAAATTATTTCCTCCTTAATTACAAGTAACAAAAAAACAACACGTCTTATTCTGTTGAGTCGTACTTTTCAAAGATTAGTCTTAGATTATCTTACCTACATTAGACCAAGAGAGGACATCAAATTCTTGAGAAATTATTTGTGTTTCACACAGTGATTGTCACAGTTAGGTTGGTAGGATTTTCTAAAGCGTTGAACGTTTGTACATCAACATATTCCTACTTTTTGTCCTATTTTTAGTGCTCTGCTTAACTTAGGAGATCATGCATCCTGCTCAGTTGCGGAGCTACCGCTTTGATTACGGGTTTAGTCGAACCCAATTTTGTCTACATACATTTGATATTTGTCTTAAGAAATTCATTGTATATATACAAATTGTTAATTTAGAATTCACTAACTTTAAAAAGATTAAAATCTCCAACTCATAAGCTTCAAATTCTGGTTCTACCTCTGATGCTGCTTTCATATACAAACTGCTTTTGTCTTAATTCCCTGTATTAGTATAAACACTTTTAAATATTCCAAACTTGTTTAGAATTAAAGCATAATAATTATTATTATAAACGGGCCTGGAATAAAAGTTTCTGTCTAATTGAGATTTCACTTTTCATTGGCAAGCGGACACGAAATTTGCAAGATTTCCAAGTGTTGTGTAGAAATATTTGTATATGCCAAATAATGGTCAAGCTGTATTGTTCTTCTTTTTTCCTATTTTTTTTTTTAAAATAACTACCGTCAGGTTGGAAGCATATGTAACAAATTGAAGCATATATATATATATATATATATCTGTTTAACAGAAAAAAACAAAGATAGGTTAACGAACATTTGAAAAGTTTAGGTGATCCACTATTGGTCATTATATTATACACACTTTAATAATAATAATAATAATAATAATAATAATAATAATAATAATAATAATAATAATAAAAAGAAGATGCATGGGCCACGCAGTTGCACAATTTTTAAATGATAGAATTAATAAAAACGGATGAGGAAGAAGCAGCATTAATTAATTGAGCTTTGCCTCACTAGTAGCTGAACTATTGCATGCCATTATTTTCAGGTGGTATTTGTACGTCATAACCATGGTAATTACTAATTATTTACTCAAATTATATTCTTATAAGCCGTCTTTTCTTTCCCTAAATGTGGTTTTGAGAATGTAGTTTAGGGTTTAGACTGTAGGAAGCAAAAAGACAAGCGTCCGGACGTGGTCATAACTTAACTAGCGCATATATACGTTCGTCATTTCGCATATACTAGTTATCAAATCAAGCAACAAGTAGCAAATAGATTGCCTATGAGGAGAATTCCCTCTTACAAGGGTAGACAAGAGACTTAACTCTTTTCGGGAACACCTTCAACCTTCTAAAACTATTTTTCCTTTCAAATCCACCACCAAACGACTCAAATCTAATCAAACAGTACTCAATAAGGTCAAATAAAATTATATAAATAAATCTCAAATAATAAAATTTTAATCTTTAATCAAATTTTTACAACCCAAACCCACATAGTCTAACACTCGAATCTAAGGGTAGATCTGGTTGACCGATGAATCCACAAGTCTAGAGCAGCTCCCAAATATGGGTCCGGACTACCAAAGAGAGAAAAAAAACAACTCTTGGTTTTAGAGTCCTTGTTTTTCATAGCCAATTTAGCTGTTAATTAATTGTTTTAATGACGGCATTTTTTGCTTAATTAGATTATGACCACTTGAGGATGTTGTTTAAGGTCTACGTACTTTCTATAATCTCTTCTTTTTTCGTCTTTTATATGAACCTTGGGATTTTAATTCCTATAGAGCTGGATTTGCTACTTTGTACTAGACAAAAAGAAAAGAACAAACATATCATAGGAATTAGCCACTTGTACCAACACTAAAAATGCCACTTTTTAGTATCATCATCATTAATTAGATATTCACTAAATATCTTGTTTAGCTGAGCTGACACGTTTCAGAATGGTTTTCCGTGACCGCAAAACCAACGGCATGATCAGTCTAAACTAGAGGTGGCAGACAGATGGGTGGGGCGAATTCGATCCGTTAATATTTGATACGGATAAAAAATAAGTTAATCGGTGGATAATATGTATAAATAGTACAGACTAGATAATTTTCGGATTGATAATTAAAAAACAACCGACATTTGCAAAGTCATTGAAAAATAATCACTATTTTGCTGAAACACGAAAAGTTTCAGCATAATATGCTGAATTATGGAGCTCATGCATATAAACTTTCAACATATTATGTTGGAACTCTAGCACACAGAAAGTTCCAGCATAATATGCTAGATTATGGAGCTCCTACATATAAACATCCAGCATATTATATATGTTGGAATTCCAACATGTTATTAAATGTGTTTTTGTTCAAATTTTATCTTTACATGAAAAAGTGACTAAATTTCGATTAATTTTAAAACTGTGGCTATTTTCAATTACCAATTATAAATATGATTATGTGACTATTTCTGATTTTTCCCCGAAGAAATAGAAAGTCATGGGTACCAATTGTAAACCATGGGTACATATTATCCATGGCTTATTGAATGTGATAATTTTTTTTAGAGAATTTCTAGTTTTACAAATTTGAAGAACTTACAATTCGAGTATTTGCTAATGTAAAAATGAAACCTATTGATTATCCATTAAGTATTCATTTTTTAAAAGTTTATTATCTAACCCATTATTCATTGAATAAAATGGATGAATAATTTTTTTTTATAATTTATTTTTTCTTCACTACTCTAAACATATCGGAATTGAGAAATTAAGAATGAACGAAAAGTCATCACTTGGAAACCATCACATTAAATGCCATATCCACCTTGTTGGAAAAAACAAACACTTGGCACGTACTAATAATCTTGAAAAATACTTTTTATCGCTGATTTGCTGTGGTGTTAGTAAACATAAACATACCATTTGACTTCTTTTCCTCTTTTTTTTTCTTCCTAAAAAGAAAGAACGATTATGCATTGCGTGAGCACTATATATTTGGGAGTTAAGTTAATGCGTGGATTTGGTTAGGAGGGTGACCAGTTAAGTGTCTGAAAAAAATGTACGTAAACTTTGACACGCATCAAACTTGTGTTAGTCACATGGATATTGAAACTATTGTACGTAATTTTATTAAAAATATACTTAAAAACAATGCCAAACTTTCATAAATCTATGTCACTAATGTCTGATTCCGACGCTCATCAACTAAACATATTTTTAATCAATGACTTAAATTTGGTTTCTACTGCCATTCTTCTGCTCGATTTTCCTCACAGTAAAATTTTCTGTCGCAATTAACACCTCTTGGGTAAGGCAAAGAGATTATTTCCGATAGACGTCGGCACGAAAAAATATTTTCTAATAGGTTTGAAAAATAGTCACCATAAACGAATTAAAATTAAACATCCGATCTATCATGCATTGATCTTTGTTAACAAAACAAAGTATAATTAGGCAATTTTGAATTTTGAATTGATGATAACACACTTTTTCTCACTTTGTCAATGGTTCCTTTTTAATAGTTATGACCTTGTTAGCCAGTTTGTTAACACATTTGATCTTTTTATCATACAATAAATATTATTCAAAAGAGCATTGACGAAAATGTGTATTACTCATCCTAATAAATGAGAAACATCGTTTCGTCATATACTTTCCGAAAGTAAAGTTTGAAAACTGTTATATGCAGTAATAAAATAGATGAATTAACCCAAATAGCTGCCCACCCAATTACTTAAACTAAAAATAGTTACGGATATGCAATATATGTATAATCGAGTATAATTAGTATAATCTACGTATACGAGCTAAAAAAAAAAAGTAAACACTAAAATGGACAGGCTATTTGTGTAAAAATTCCAATAAAATATGTCAAACGTATTACCTACATTTGTGGGTTATAAAACTAATGAATGAATTTTCTATGTGATTTTGCAGCTAGTCTTTGAATTTAGAAAGACATCTTTCTTAAAATATTCTAACCCATAACGCTTTAACATCAAGTGAATTTAGTTGTTTGAACTTTTTAAGCACATGAATATTTCTAAGTATTCACACATTGGCAGGTAAAAGAATCCGTGCAGTATTAGGATTACTGTACTTTGATTTGGGTAGTTGGGAGGGGACGGTGAGAAGGGGTTTTTCTACCATTTCTTGGAGAGTCAAGTTTTATAATTTATGTTGGTAGGTAGAATCCAAATAGGTGAAAGGACGGCAGAAAAAAATGAGACCATTTTTGACAATTCTTGTTCCAGGATACTGCCCCCAATTCTTTTTGGATGCAGCATTTTTTGACAAGCTAAAGAGTAGTCCATTCCAAATTTCCAATATAATACCAACTATGACAATGATTGGGTAAGGGTAAGGGATGAGGGTTTGCTTACTTGGTGAGCTCCTTTCACAGTTGAAGTGACGAGTTCAAACGTATGAGTAGGTATTGTATCCCCTTCTCCTTCCCCCCCCAAAATCACCACCACCAACAACATAATACTTTGTGTATTCCCACAAGTAGGGTCTAGGGAGGGTCGTAGCCTTACCCCTACCTGAAGGAGGTAGAGATGTTTCCCGTAGACCCTCAGGATCCTGGGCACGCATAATCAAAGCAGGAAAGAAAAATTGGGCAGTGGTGATGACTCATTGGGTAAAACTTAATAATCTTGTAGCAGCTTCTCCAAGCGAAAGGGAAGAAGGGAGATCAATCTGTCGGTATACATTGTTTCTCTAGGGTGACATGGTTTGCAGCAGAGCGATTATGTGCATATTTAAAAGGGAGTAAACCGCTATCGGTTGCAGCAAGAAATGAAAAAGAACTATAAATAGCAAATTAAGAACGAGTCCAACACAAATAAGGGCAAGTCAATCACAACATATTCAACCACAAGTTTTCAGGTTTATTCCAATAGTAAATCAGCAAAAGATATCCCAAATTCATGGAATAAAGACAGGACATATATGTTTCCACCAAGTTAATTGCTACCTAGAGTCTGCCACCCCTTAGTGCAAGAACAAGGTGAAGAACTGAACCACCTTCGATGTTGTAATCTTTAGCCGTCTTGTCATCTGCCAACTGTTTTCCAGCATAAATAAGCCTGCAATAAAACAGGGGAACAAAAAGTAAAACCACTGTCGTAAACTGCCGAACAGAAATAAAACAACAAATATGAAGAAGGTACTTGTATAACGCGCTGAACGTATAGGTAAAATGACTTGTTCACAAAAATATTGACTTAGGAACAAGTTAGATATCTCTTAGCCACTATTTACTTTCTGCCTATAAGACCAACCGAAATGAAAGTGAAATCAAAGAACAACTCAATCAGGACCATGGAATTCTGCGAACTAAGAAAGTTTATTTCAGTAAAAGCCTACCTAATGTACTAAATAATGACCATTAAAGAATGGAATTATGATTTTTCATATTTTCCGTTATCTCGAACACATAAGATACGAACACACTGACTGAGGGCTTACTCATAAGTTGTCTTTTGACATTCACCGTCCCTTCTAAGAAAGGGAAGAAGCTAAGCAGTCCAAATTACTATAACAAAGTGCATTTTAGTTATACTGTCAATTTGCAAGAAAACCATTTTAAGAAACCAAGACTGTAAGCAATCTTTTTCTCCACAGAAGAGAGATAAGATTGAAATTTAACCAAAAAAGGAAAGAAAAATACATTTGGATGCCCACCATTATTCCGAGGCATGCCAGCAAGAAACTATGAAATTTGGCTAATGAGAGCAAATGCAGACAAAAGATCAATAAGCTTCATCAGACCTGCTGAATTTTCTAGACCATGTCTTAACCAGTGCAGAATGGCAGATGCAAGAGCTGTTAGACCCGTTGAATATTCACAATGCTCTTAAAATATGCCAGCATTGCCAGTTTTATAGAACTTGCATTTTTTACTTATTTTTCAAGTCATTAAGTCTTTAATTGTATGCTTGTCAACTGAACCACACAAAAGTTTAATCGTATTCTCCAAAGAGTGTGGTATGCCTCAAAAACATTTATTACAATATGGACCTAAGGGCTTCACATTCCCTTTATCCTTGAATACACTGCATCTAAGCAACTCATATGTGACATTCAATTGACACAACTATGAATTGTTATAATTATGAAAATGGGCAAAGTAGAAAATTACAATAAATCAAGTCTAGGAGGAGCATTTAATAGTGGTAGTTATTACAGGGAATGACAGAAATACCAGGCAACAGAAACATGACAACCTGCAGAGATTTAAAAGATAAGTCCAAAAAAGATTCATAGGCCAGGCACACAACATCACTCATACAACATTGCCACTCTTTTGGTCACATGGTGAGGGTGAGAGGAGGCAGTATGGTGTGGGGAAACAGGAGCAAAAACAAGCACTGGAGACCACAAATCTGTGGTATTCAAATTGATCGAAATAAAAGAAATACAAACCTTTGCTGCACAGGAGGTATTCCTTCTTTCTCCTCAACACGTTCCTTAATCCGATCAATGGTATCGTTGGGTTCAATGTCGATCTCAATTTCCTTTCCAGTGAGAGTCTTCACCTTGATCATAGTTCCTCCCCTGAGCCTCAAAACAAGGTGAAGAGTTGATTCTTTCTGAATGTTGTAATCAGCCAGGGTCCGCCCATCTTCCAACTGTTTCCCAGCAAAAATCAGTCTCTGCTGATCAGGAGGTATGCCTTCTTTATCCTGGTAAGCAACACATACAGTATCTTGTCAGCTCTAAGTAAAAAGAAAAGAGCAAATGACTAACTAATGCATGTTAGCATGAATGCCAGCATTTAACAAATACTACAAAAGATAAGTGGACAAAACCAAGGCAGTGCAAGGCAGTGCAGGGCAGACAGGGATAGCAGGAGAAGGGAAATATGAAACAACACCTCACTATCCAACATGCAGCAAATCACATATTACGGCAATTAAAAGTCGATATATGCACAATTGTAATTCAAGGACCTTCATTTAGCTTTGATAGGGAGTCAATGGTTATGAGCTTTTCCTTATGGGTTATGGTGGGCTCTTACATTTTGTGGGTCTTCTTAGAGGTCATATTTTGGGACTGCACGTATTTGATAGTATTAAGGTTGATTTCAAATTCAAATAAACTGGTTACCAAATCAAAGACTAAGTATAATCTTTACCCATATTTGATCAGGTTTCTCGTAGCCCTAAAATAGAAAAATGCCCATGGTTGAGTGAGCAGAGTTCTAGCACCAGCGAAACAACATATCTCTATGCCTACACAAAAAATGGCTACACCTAAGCCAAAAGAACGGAAAGAGCAACTTCAAGACCTACTTGACAAGGGATTCATTAAACCGAGTGGCTAAACAAGATAAAGGGCTTCAAAACAAGCTCCAAAATAGTGAATATCTGGAAACATCATCCTAAGGTAGTAAGGGATATCATCAAGAGCATGGTAGCACCAATTCCCACGAGGGAACAAGTAGATAAATGAATTAAAAATATCCCATCAAGGTCACCTAAACATACAAGCACATAATGGAGATTTCAGGTGATCCCAATACTATAAAACAACGGTTAAATATCATCTAGTAACGACACCGGTGACCAGAGGCATTATCTCAAATTTTTATGTTTACGCATCCAAACACAAAGCTGATATTCATATCCACACTGCATAAGCCCTAGAAAACACACATGACAAGTCAGTCATCTTCACGTTGGGCTAACATGGTCCATGCCAGCTACTACTGTTGAGTTATTAAAATCTTGGAACAACAATGGAGGCCCGGTGAGACAGAAGACATGGTGGAGATTGATACATGCTTGCATATGGTGGACAATATGGAAGGAGAGAAACTCAAGAGTGTTTGAAGACATATTCAATTCCATTCAGGATGTCAAGATGAACTGTATTTTCTATTTCATTTTTGGTGTAAAGAAAGTCTTGTAGAGGATACAGATTCTTTGATAGACATGATAGGCTCTTTGTAGCTAATATAGATCAAGAATGATCTACTACCCCCTGTACATATTGCGTCGCACTGCCTTAGTGTTTTTCTCAATTAATACAAATCTTACCATTCCCAAGAAAAAAGTCAGTCGTCTTCACGTAATGCACATTCACTCCAACAACATCTTGAGGAGGATTTCAAAAGAGAAACAGGGAGAAAAGAAAACCTTGAAAAGTGCAACAGGGACTTTATTTGTACAGGCAAGGTGATAAATACTCCAGAATGAATATTTATCAAAAAATAAAAATAAAAAGATGATCCGGATAAATAGCAACACATGATTAGTGGGCATGAAACTATTAAGTCTTACTACCAAAAAGAAAAGAACAAATAATAAGATATCTTAACTCCGCAGCCATCAATAACACAAATGACAACTACAACATCCACAATCTACATTCTGGTGTCTTTGTGTCATTGCAGGTTTATCTGTCTGTTTTCTATCCAATTTGGTGAACATATGCATTTACAATCTTGTACAATTACATCCAGTACATTCAATATATTTAACCACTTGTAGGGATGCAATAGTCAAGTTTTCTTTTTTTGATTAAAAAAATGAGTTGAAAGTGACGTAGGTAACCTAAAAGAGGTTATCACTCATAACTTGGACATCAACTTGAAGTACATATCCCCTTTTTGCACAGTTATGACAATCCACAAGAAGCCATAGGCACATTATGTGTGCCCATAAGCCTGTATCAATTGAGGTTCCAAAACCAGTGCTTTCTGGTACAGTATTTGACATCATATAAGGAATTGACAGGATATAGCATAGGAGGAAAAAATTACAATTTTCATCCGCGGCAATTGAAAGATCAATTGATTTAAACTAAACACAACGGTATGTTAAGAATTAGCAGGGAAGAAAAGAGTTCCCTTTCAACTTCGAATTACCATGTATGCATGACCACCAATTAGATTGTAAGCAGTGCATCTATTAGCAGAATATATAGTCCAAAAGAAACTTAAATCGCAACATAAATTCCCAGAAAACGTTGAGCTATTATAGCACCCAAGGGTGTGGCCTAGTCCAAGCCTTGGTTGAGAGTATTACCCAGTATCTGCGCTGGTGGAAGGTAACAGCCTAACAGGTACCCGTGAAATTATTTGAGGTGATCGTGAGCCGGCCCAGACACCACGATTATTTTTTTTAAAACGTTGAGCTATTATATGTATCAATCTCCACACAAATTATATACGCAAACAAAAAAGATTGCGCCTTTGATCAGACAAAGAGAAAAACTAAAAACCAGCAATCTTACTATCCAAAACGCCAAAACCCTAATTCATGAAAACAAAACGAAATCCTGAACAATAAAAAGTGGCATAAATTGAAGGGCGGGAATATACCTGAATTTTAGCCTTGACATTGTCAATGGTATCGCTGCTCTCAACTTCGAGAGTTATGGTTTTTCCGGTTAGGGTTTTCACAAAGATCTGCATGATTGATAAATCGATCCTTTTGCTTGCTTTGCTACAGAAACAAAGAAGTCGAAGCTCGTCCCTTTTACGCTAACTTCGGATGAAATAAGAATAAGAAAAAGAATACCGAGCGCTATTTATAGGGTTCCGTTTTGTGGTGTAGTGTACGGTGTACCCCGTCTGTATTCCGAATCTGGCTTTACTTTTTCCATTGGCCCTAAACCAAAGAGATTTCTGAATAATGGACCCCTCAACTATATTCCTTTTCTTTTCTTTTGCTTTGTTTTCTCTCTTTTTTTTCCCCTCCTTATGCTACTAGGACTCGGTTTGTTTATTAATTGCCCGTTTGGACAAAAGAATTTTTTTCACTTTTTTTATATAAATTTTTATTTTTTTTTAAAATTAGTGTTATTTTCAATTTTTACTTGAAGATAAATTTTAAAATTTTTTGAAATTTTGAAAAAATCCAAAATGCCGTTTTTCAAAATTTTCACTTAGATAATTCACAAAATTTCAAAAACAACCCCAAATTATATTCATGCTCAAATACAACTCTAATTTTCAAATATTATTTTTACTTGAAAAATATTTCACTTTTTTTTTGGAATTTTACAATTCTTATGTCCAAACGCCCACTAAATTGCTTTTGGGTTTGAATTTGGTTTTGATTTTGTTATTGACTTTTGTTTTCCAGAGGTTTTTAGAAGAACGAGTTTTGGAGGTATCGGGATTAGTTTTTTTTCTTCAATAAAAATAGATATTAGCATATTTGCATAACTGAGATATATGATACTTTATAATTAGGTCTCAAAAGAGTTTATTTGTAAACGCAATTTTGTGGATTATTCTTTTTAAAGTTATCCTTGTAAAGTGCATCACATCCGACTCTTGCTCGGTGTTTCCTTTACAAATTGTCCAAACTCATGTTGTCAATTTTGGCCCTTAAATTGGATTAGAAAGGCAAATTGGGGTTTTACCTTTGGGGTTTCATCGTTACATTTGGGCCGGTATTCAATATTGAAACCAAATCAAGAGATTCATGAGAAATTTTCATAAACCACTATAATTTAGAGTCTAGTAACTATAATTTGTTTAATTATTATCCGTAACTACTATTTTATTGCTACTAATTTATATCACTTATATTCAAACACGCAACGAATATAACAACTGATCAACTATATGTATCAACTGTATAACCAAGGCGAAATACACGGGTGTATACAAAGGATATAATTTGTATCGACTGTATACATGAGTATATAAAACTGTATTTATTCACGCAACGAATACAACTAAGGCGAAATACAGAAAAATAAAATGTTCTTGTTGAGAGTCAAACACAGGACATCTACTGACTAAGCATGCGCTCTAATCAACTGAGATATGAGAGCTTATTGCTCTCATATTTTAGTTCAAAAATAATTAATCTTTTATTTTATGGATTTACTATAAAATTTAACTATAGCTATGAATGGTAAAATTTGCTGAAAGTATAGCTATAAGTGATAAATACACTGTAAATGCTTGATGTGTCGCGTAATTTTTTCGAAATTCATCGGTATTCTCCTTAAGGAA